GCGTTACAGTGTCACATGGAGTGACCGGAGTGTTATGCTGAACATGTACAGTACTCTGTTGACTGGAGGAAACAGGATATATAATGTCTTTAGCATCATGTTGCAGTTCTGAATGAGCATGCAGATGATCACCTCGTGGCTTTACAATTGGTGGCACGGTTGTTTGAAATGATGGAGACTCCATTTCTGCATATACTCTCTCCCTTGCCTCAGCCTTTGCAATTTCAATATCAAGCTTTATTTCTTCTAACTTGCGAATATCTTCAAACTTGACCTTTTCTGAAAGCAATTCTGCAAGGTGAGCTCTCTCCTTGGCTCTTGCTGATCGTGTTGAACTTGTTGACTTAAATGAAGATCTTGAAGCAGAGTCAATGTTGTCTGCAAGTTGAACTTCTATGTTGGAGATCCATTGGGAAACGTGATCTCTGTATTTGATGAAGTCGTGTTCCTTTTCTGTATTCGACTTGCTCTCAATACTCTTTAGCTCGTCTGTCTCTAATGCAGCAAAATATGCATCAAAACACATTGTGTATTGATCAAACAGTTCATTTAGATGTTGATAACTCATCTTCACTAAGTGCAAATTATCTCCACGTTCCATGAGCCTTGAGATTTCGTTGCGCTTCTTTGTCACTGCTGTGGTAGCTGCTATCTGTTTATTCTTCCAAAGTCTGAGTCTCTCAACTTTCCCTTTATCAGTTAGAGTCCTAATTTTTCTAAGATTTCGACCTTCACTTTCTCCTTCATCTTCTTCAAAGCTCACTTGTCTATTCTGCTCATGTGACAGATCAGTCTCATCATCAACTATTGAATAATCTTGACAAGTTGCCATGGTTACGTTGTACTTGAAAAGTCAAAGTTCAGTTTTAGCTTTTTATCAATTTCAGTTTTGGACAAGTCTAGTTTCAACGTTATCTTGCAGTATAAATTTTTCTGAACTAATGTAGATGCAAGAAACACAAACTTCTGACACTCGCATCCACAGGGATTTGTATTACATGATGTTGAGCGTTAATCACAAGGTTCAGTACAAACGTTGAACAATATCCATTCAGATATAATCGTTGGTGAAGGAGTTGAATTGAAGAGCTGACGTTGAACGGTAAAGACGACTTCAAAATACAACTTCAAACTATGTTTACGTTCTAAGGCGTTATAATGAGGCAATTTCAGTCTCGTTATAAGACGACTATCTTTGTTTACATTGTCTACATTGAATACGTTGGTGGGTGAGGTTCAGAAAACTAAAATAGAAAGAAAATACAATCCTTTCTTTAGGCTGAACCAATTAAATAGTCAAAATTACCAATTTAAAAGAATAACAAACAACTGTCTGACAAAATACTCAAAATTGCTTACAACTGCCAAATGGTTACTGAATTGAAGTTATAAATGCATTGAGCACTTGAGAGATAAAATAATATTAACTTTGGCATTGAAAAATATGAGTTTACTTCACTTTTGTGTTGCTTTACACTTTGGAGAATGTAACCGTGGTCCTAACAAGATGGAGATTTGACTGATTGTGTGGGGAACATGTGCTTTTTAGATCATGCGACTTGAAATGGAATTGAGGCTGTAAACAAGTAATTAATTTATCTGCAAAAGTTTATTGAGAAATGGGGATTTGAACTCACAAAGTCTAGCTTTCAAAGGTCATGTGACATATTATGACCAAACACTTTATCCACTAAGCCAAAGTGAGGAGGTTCAAATGAAGATGACTTTAAGTGGACCAAATATTTAACTAAGAAAAACTTTGTTTTTTAAAAATAAATGAAACTTAAACCATTACCAAAATATAGAAAATGAACCTTAAACAAAACTCTGGAAACAGATGAAAAACACCATTTCTGCATTTACAGTAGGGACTCCTCTATATACAGGTAGGGAGTCTTCTACATACAGGTAGAAAGTCCTCTATATACAGGTAGGGAGTCCTCTATATACAGGTAGGGAGTCCTCTATATACAGGTAGGGAGTCCTCTATATACAGGTAGGGAGTCGTCTATATACAGGTAAGGAGTCCTCTACATACAGGTAGGAAGTCCTCTATATACAGGTAGGAAGTCCTCTATGTACAGGTAGGAAGTCCTTTATATAAAGGTAGGGAGTCCTCTATATACAGGTAGGGAGTCCTCTATATACAGGTAGGGAATCCTCTATATACAGGTAGGGAGTCCTCTGTATACAGGTAGGGAGTCCTCTATATACACGTAGGGAGTCCTCTATATACAGGTAGGAAGTCCTCTATATACAGGTAGGAAGTCCTCTGTATACAGGTAGGGAGACCTCTATATACAGGTAGGAAGTCCTCTATATACAGGTAGGGAGTCCTCTGTATACGGGTAGAGAGTCCTCTATATACAGGTAGGGAGTCCTCTATATACAGGTAGGGAGTCTTCTACATACAAGTAGAAAGTCCTCTCTATACATGTAGGTAGTCCTCTATTTATACAGGTAGGAAGTACTCTATATACAGGTAGGAAGTCCTCTATATACAGGTAGGGAGACCTCTGTATACAGATAGGGAGTCCTCTATATACAGGTAGGGAGTCCTCTATATACAGGAAGGGAGTACTCTGCATACAGGCAGGAAGTCCTCTATATACAGGTAGGGAGTCCTCTATATAAAGGTAGGGAGTCCTATATATACAGGTACGAAGTCCTCTGTATAAAGGTAGGGAGTCCTCTATATACAGGTACGAAGTCCTCTGTATACGGGTAGAGAGTCCTCTATATACAGGTAGGAAGTCCTCTATATACAGGTAGGAAGACCTCTATATACAGGTAGTAAGTCCCCTATATACAGGTAGGGAGTCTTCTACATACAGGTAGGAAGTCGTCTATATACAGGTAGGGAGTCCTCTATATACAGGTAGGGAGTTCTCTATATACAGGTAGGGAGTCCTCTAATTACAGGTAGGAAGTCATCTATATATAGGGAGAACGTCCTTTATATAAAGGTAGGGAGTCCTCTACATACAGGTAGGGAGTCCTCTGTATGCAGGTAGGGAGTCCTCTATATACAGGTAGGGAGTCATCTATATACAGGTAGGAAGTCCTCTATATACAGGTAGGGAGTTCTCTATATACAGGTAGGGAGTCCTCTATATACAGGTAGGGAGTCCTCTATATACAGGTAGGAAGTGCTCTATATACAGGTAGGGAGTCATCTACGTACAGGTAGGGATTCCTCTATATACAGGTAGGGAGTCCTCTATATACAGGTAGGGAGTCCTCTATATACAGGTAGGAATTCCTCTGTATACAGGTAGGAAGTCCTCTATATACAGGTAGGAAGTCCTCTATATACAGGTAGGGAGTCCTCTATATAAAGGTAGGGAGTCCTATATATACAGGTACGAAGTCCTCTGTATAAAGGTAGGGAGTCCTCTATATACAGGTACGAAGTCCTCTGTATACGGGTAGGGAGTCCTCTATATACAGGTAGGAAGTCCTCTATATACAGGTAGGAAGACCTCTATATACAGGTAGTAAGTCCTCTATATACAGGTAGGGAGTCTTCTACATACAGGTAGGAAGTCGTCTATATACAGGTAGGGAGTCCTCTATATACACGTAGGGAGTCCTCTATATACAGGTAGGGAGTCTTCTACATACAGGTAGGAAGTCCTCTGTATACAGGTAGGGAGTCCTCTATATACAGGTAGGAAGTCCTCTATATACAGGTAGGAACTCCTCTATATATAGGTAGGAAGTCCTCTACATACAGGTAGGAAGTCCTCTATATACAGGTAGGGAGTCCTCTATATACAGGTAGGAAGTCCTCTGTATAGAGGTAGGGAGTCCTCTATATACACGTAGGGAGTCCTCTATATACAGGTAGGGAGTCCTCTATATACAGGTAGTAAGTCCTCTATATACAGGTAGGGAGTCTTCTACATACAGGTAGGAAGTCGTCTATATACAGGTAGGGAGTCCTCTATATACAGGTAGGGAGTCCTCTAATTACAGGTGGGAAGTCCTCTATATACAGGTAGAACGTCCTTTATATAAAGGTAGGGAGTCCTCTACATACAGGTAGGGAGTCCTCTGTATAGAGGTAGGGAGTCCTCTATATACACGTAGGGAGTCCTCTATATACAGGTAGGGAGTCCTCTATATACAGGTAGGGAGTCCTCTATATACAGGTAGGGAATCCTCTATATACAGGTAGGGAGTCCTCTGTATACAGATAGGAAGTCCTCTGTATACAGGTAGGAAGTCCTCTATATACAGGTAGGGAGTCCTCTATATACAGGTAGGGAGTCCTCTATATACAGATAGGAAGTCTTCTGTATACAGGTAGCGAGTCCTCTGTATACAGATGGGAAGTCCTCTATATACAGGTAGGGAGTCCTCTATATACAGGTTGGAAATCCTCTGTATACAGGTAGGGAGTCCTCTGTATACAGGTAGGGAGTCCTCTATATACAGGTAGGAAGTCCTCTATATACAGGTAGGGAGTCCTCTATATACAAGTAGGGAGTCCTCTATATACAGGTAGGGAGTCCTCTATATACAGGTAGGAAGTGCTCTATATACAGGTAGGGAGTCATCTACGTACAGGTAGGGAGTCCTCTATATACAGGTAGGGAGTCCTCTATATACAGGTAGGAATTCCTCTGTATACAGGTAGGAAGTCCTCTATATACAGGTAGGAAGTCCTCTGTATACAGGTAGGGAGTTCTCTGTATACAGGTAGGGAGTCCTCTATATACAGGTAGGAAGTCCTCCGTAAACAGGTAGGGAGTCCTCTATATACAGGTAGGGAGTCCTCTGTATACAGGTAGGAAGTCCTCTATATACAGGTAGGAAGTCCTCTGTACACAGGTAGGAAGTCCTCTATATACAGGTAGGGAGTCCTCTGTATACAGGAAGGGAGTCCTCTATATACAGGTAGGATACTTGAAATAGATATATCCCTCGATCACTCATAAAACGTCTTACAAATACGATTATCATGATGATATGTAAGCTTTCTTTTCCTTCCTCAGCTGAGTGGCAGAACACATTAAACTACGTGGACCGGAACATGCCACGATTTGATACTGTAAGTGTTATGTTAGTGTCAACAAACGAATATCAGATCAATAACGTTCATCAGTAGAAAGTTGTCTGAGAGTCACTGTCAATTAATTAAAGGCTCCAAGGAGCCTCGAACTTGTATACACTCTTATAACCTGGTACTCATATCTTCATAGGGATTAAGGTTGATCTGATTCATCTTACTGTGTTGCCTTTACAGACTGACTATCAATGCCAGGACCATCTAATGTTCGGAGATTCTTCTCAGACACCACGTGACTCCCCAGGTAAATGTAACAACTTCAGTGTTGGGTGTAATGGGTTGGCACCTTTCAGTGTTCAGATATCACATTTTCATATGTTTTAAGTTCACTTTATGCAAAAGCTAATTAGTGTACCTATTAATTATTCGTTGTTGTAACATATTAGGTTTAACTGTTAGTTAACTGTACGAGTTAAGAACGACGATGTCATATCAGGGGCAAATGTGTAAATGTGTGTATGTAATAATTTTCCCGATATCAATATTAGACAGTACTGGTAGGGATAATAAGCTAGTCTAGTTCTATGATGCGCACACAATTGTGTTCCCTTATGTACAAAAGACAGGAAGATAGTTCACCTTTTTGCGAACAGCTGGTATCACCAGAACTTGATAGTGATTCATGATTACATGCTAATAACATCTTTCAAAATCTTACAATGGATAAAAATAACTATTGTGGTAATGGAAAGGGTTTTGTCGCATGCAATCCCCATTTTCAGTTGTACATATTGAGGAGATCATATTCCGATGTTCAGATTCATGTCACACTATCAACCAGCTGTTTGTCAGTTCTAGGTTGGATTACCACGTGGATCATCATGATGTCCTCTAACTCATAAACTGACTTTTACACATTGCATCTAGATACTGACAACCAACGGAGACAAGCACAGAAAAGCCACGTCCTTCAAATAAGACAGTTTCAACAGGGAAGACTCAGCAGAACACCTTTGTACGCAATGCTTGAAAGTGTAAGTAAAGAAAGTGTTAAACATCCGATTATGGAATATTGAACTGCTTGGCGAGTAATTAGTTTGTGCAATTCAAGCAATTAAATTATCAAATATTTAGGTAAGAGTGATAATTACAATTTTAAAAATGACTATTTGCCATACTTTAATTCTGGTTAAAGAACTGTATAAGTTATGCTCAATCGGTATAACTATTTCTTACTTAACCCTGAAGGAGATCATCACATGACCACTTGTTTCCTTTCAACTTACGAAAAATTGTTGTTTGTGTTCAAAATCGTTTGTCCCTCAGTCTGGTTACCTGACTAAAATTGTTTTAACTGTCCCATCAGTTTGTACTCATACTTTCACTCTTTTGTGGTTCCTATATTTCCAAAGTTGGTTTAATGTTGGAGCTGAGACACATTTTATTTAAAATTCAATGATCTTGCCAGAAACGCAGCATTTAACTGTCATGTGGCATAACATTGAGTCAATGTTACAGTAATCAAGCCACACCATGTTGTGTCGATCATGTTATCCAGATAACCTGTCACACACAACACCTGGTATTTGTCTTGCTGTAAGTTTAAACAGTCACTTCCTGTATATATTTCATTAATACAGGATTTGTTGACGTGGCCCTGTTGATGCAATACACTGTAACGGTGTTGTCCGTATATCCTTAGACATGGCAACCACTAAGTTCCGGTCCCAATGAATCTCTGCACTGCCAGAAACAAAGTTACCAATTCTTCAATATTGATTTGCTGATCGCTAATCGCCGGGGGTGGACTCTTCCACTTTACATAGCACCGACCGTCACCAAGCGCTGCCGCCGCGTTCCTCGCATGCATCAGTGGCACATCCCCGATAGGGAAGTACTTCACCTTTAAGAGCAAAAGTAGTTCCATTAAACTGTTCACAGAATTTGACCTCGATAACGCAATAAAGAGTAAACAATTTTCCGCTTAATCTAAGACAATAAGACGCCCGATAAACGTCCATGAACGTCCGTTTTCCTAGCAACTGATGTAGTTGTAACTTTTTAACTTTCTTCAATTTTTCAAATTGACCCAAACATTCTTTCAGATCTACATGTTTATCTTCGGGGAGAATTAAAGTTCCCACAACACTTTCTGTATTTATGTTAAAATGTCATTTTGGGGGTTGGTGCTACAAATTTATCATGGGCTAATGTAAAACCTGTCTTCAATAAGCTGCAGCAAAGATTCCAAAACTTTATCACAGTGGCCAATAGTCACATCGTACGTTTACGTTTCATCATACAGGAAAAGCTGGAGACTCTGCCTTATTTCTCGCCAGCATGGAGAGGACTAGTGTCGCTGACGCGCAGCGCTGAATTTAATACGTTTAGCTCAAATGGTTGAACTACTGTGATGTCATCTGGCTACTACCGACAATCAGCATCGAGAAACGTTAAATGCACATGTGCAAATATCGGAAAGTTATTACTCATGACTTTCCTATCCTTTATGGGCAACCTTGTACTTTAAGGCCTGTTACATCCTGTAAGGCCTGGTACATCCTGTAAGACCTGTTACACCCTGTAAGGCCTGTTACACCCTGTAAGGTCTGTTACACCCTGTAAGGCCTGTTACACCCTGTAAGGCCTGTTACACCCTGTAAGGCCTGTTACATCCTGTAAGGCCTCTTACAACCTGTAAGGTCTGTTACACCCTGTAAGGCCTGTTACATCATGTAAGGCCTGTTACATCCTGTAAGGCCTGTTACATCCTGTAAGGCCTGTTACACCCTGTAAGGCCTGTTACACCCTGTAAGGCCTGTTACATCCTGTACGGCCTGTTAAAACATGTAAGGTCTGTTACACCCTGTAAGGCCTGTTACATCATGTAAGGCCTGTTACATCCTGTAAGGCCTGTTACATCCTGTAAGGCCTGTTACACCCTGTAAGGCCTGTTACACCCTGTAAGGCCTGTTACATCCTGTACGGCCTGTTAAAACATGTAAGGTCTGTTACACCCTGTAAGGCCTGTTACACCCTGTAAGGCCTGTTACATCCTGTTAGGCATGTTACACCCTGTAAGGCCTGTTACATCCTGTAAGGCCTGTTACACCCTGTAAGGCCTGTTACACCCTGTAAGGCCTGTTACATCATGTAAGGCCTGTTACATCCTGTAAGGCCTGTTACATCATGTAAGGCCTGTTACACCCTGTAAGGCCTGTTACACCCTGTAAGGCCTGTTACATCCTGTAAAGCCTGTTACACCCTGTAAGGCCTGTTACACCCTGTAAGGCCTGTTACATCATGAAAGGCCTGTTACATCCTGTAAGGCCTGTTACACCCTGTAAGGCCTGTTACACCCTGTAAGGCCTGTTACACCCTGTAAGGCCTGTTACATCATGAAAGGCCTGTTACATCCTGTAAGGCCTGTTACACCCTGTAAGGCCTGTTACACCCTGTAAGGCCTGTTACATCATGTAAGGCCTGTTACATCCTGTAAGGCCTGTTACACCCTGTAAGGCCTGTTACATCATGTAAGGCCTGTTACACCCTGTAAGGCCTGTTACACCCTGTAAGGCCTGTTACATCCTGTAAAGCCTGTTACACCCTGTAAGGCCTGTTACACCCTGTAAGGCCTGTTACATCATGAAAGGCCTGTTACATCCTGTAAGGCCTGTTACACCCTGTAAGGCCTGTTACACCCTGTAAGGCCTGTTACACCCTGTAAGGCCTGTTACATCATGAAAGGCCTGTTACATCCTGTAAGGCCTGTTACACCCTGTAAGGCCTGTTACACCCTGTAAGGCCTGTTACACCCTGTAAGGCCTGTTACATCCTGTAAAGCCTGTTTCATCATGTAAAGCCTGTTACACCCTGTAAGGCCTGTTACATCATGAAAGGCCTGTTACATCCTGTAAGGCCTGTTACATCCGGTAAGGCCTGTTACATCCTACACGGCCTGTTACACCCTGTAAGGCCTGTTACACCCTGTAAGGCCTGTTACATCCTGTAAAGCCTGTTACACCCTGTAAGGCCTGTTACACCCTGTAAGGCCTGTTACATCATGAAAGGCCTGTTACATCCTGTAAGGCCTGTTACACCCTGTAAGGCCTGTTACATCCTGTAAGGCCTGTTACACCCTGTAAGGCCTGTTACATCCTGTAAGGCTTGTTACATTCTGTAAGGCCTGTTACATCCTGCACGGCCTGTTACATCCTGTAAGGCCTGTTACACCCTGTAAGGCCTGTTACATCCTGTAAGGCCTGTTACACCCTGTAAGGCCTGTTACACCCTGTAAGGCCTGTTACACCCTGTAAGGACTGTTACATCCTGTAAGGACTGTTACCATAGTTTCTTAGGATGGTAAGATGCTTATGATAAACTACATGTAACTTTCCTTGGTCACACAGATGATTGCAGATCACAAGGCATCATATCAAGACAGTATTCTCTCTATGAAGCAAGGTTGGTATATTCTGTGGAGATCACTGGAGAAAATGTTGTACAATCTTGATTATGCATTTGAATACTCAAGTACAGAAACAATTTCCTATGATGGTAGCACAGCCATAGTTATTAATTGCCAATGCTTTGGTACCATACCTCTCTAAATGCTAAAAATGGTGTATAATTGGGGGGGTATGTGTTCAGGTACAGCTACAAAACCAGATATATTTGATTATTTCCAGATATGAACCTTGCAATAATTTATTTCAGAATATCAAGTCGTCGGTCTCTTATATTAGTAAAGGATGGTCCCCTGTATTGTTCACAGTGTGGGCGAGGGCAATGTTGTCTTGACATCTTTTGTTTGAGTTACGGAATGAGACATGCTGCACCCTGTCATACTTAAATGTCTAAACTGCATGTGTTGGCAAGGATGTGTGAACATAACGTATGACGTTTACATGGTCGTTTCAGGTGGTTCTGCCCTCCACAATGTGGGAGATATCAGTTCATGGCTTCCTGTTTTGTGTAAGTTAACTTAAATCGATACAAAGATACAAACCTCAAATGTATTCATTAACGGACATTAGCAGGAACTATTTTTATTTGATAGGGCTACAGCTACAAATATGTGTATAACAGAGTGTCAATACTTTTGTATGTAATGCATCAATCATTTCATAGAAACATAACACTTTGGACATTCTTTCTTGAATGAGGAATTTGTTCATTGAAATGAAATGAGAGAACAAAATCATTCGACTTATTACGAGTGAGGTGTGTGGTGGTGTATGTAGTGGTGTATTTAGTGAGGGAATTCTTGATACTGGGCAAGTCGGTATATATACTCTTTAGAAAAGTAGGAGATCATGATTCAGAACTATAAATGTTAATACCAAGTAATGTTTGTGTATGAACTAGCGGTGCGGTGTCTGCAAGGCGCGGAGCGTCTAGGGGCGGGAGGAGTGGGCCAGACTCCCTCAAGTCGGCATTTGGATACTCATACGCGATATGCCTTGTCGAGTGAATGAATTTTTGACAGATCGTAGGGGTAGTGTGCACTACTGATCCAAAAACGTCAATTTTGAAAATTCCCGTCATACCCCTTAACAAGATCGTCGGTAGCCATAGCATTTACAGTCACACTTCACTACCGGTTGTAATGTAATTCGTTCAATATTCTCATACAAATATTACTAGAAGCTACTATCTCTTACAATTTTGAAAAACTTAAGTTATTTCTGCGTATCCCTGCGAAAGTCCGTGGTTCGATCCCTGGCCGCGTACTTGTTGTTACCCTGTCTGGCGCTCGGTATTAAGAGGCTAAAACAAGGACTGGTCGGCTCGGGGGCAGTATACTATGTCTGAGTGGGGCACTATAAATCGACATCAGTCCGGACAAGTACAAGCGCACATACGACGAAGCTAGTCGTTTTACCAATCAGATCCTGAGAACATTTGCCTGATCGTATACGAGTACCATTGATTCAGCGAACCACGGCCGAGGGTCACAGTTAGCTTATGGTAGTGCGTGTCCGTTAGTCAGTCAACTCATTGCGGCTATAGACCTAGCCACTGACACTAGGCCCACAGCTTCTCTACCTACTCCGGCGAATGAATCTACTTCTGCGTTCTCTATGAACATGTTGGAACAGCTCTTCAACCAGCAGAAAGGGATGATGGAGTCGATGTTTGAGTCCCGCTTCTCCGCTATATCTCAAGAGATGGAGATGCTTAAAAAGAAGCAGAGAGTATTGGCTAAGAAGAGTCAGGGCCAAGAGGCCGCATCGGGGGACAGCAATCTGTCCAGACCACAGCCACAGCCATACAGACCAGCCGGGAAGAAGCTCCCAAATGCAAGCTGACCCGACTTCACGCGGATTCACTGATAATTCTCGGTAGTGTTTCAGATGGTTGAACACGGGTTCATTGGATGCACTAGAAAATGTTTCATTTGGCTACACACGGGTTCACTGAATACACTCGGTAGTGTTTCAGAAGGTTGTTTCGTGGTTCACTCAAAGCACTCGGTAATGTTTCAGGTGGTTGCCCACGGGTTCACTGAATACACTCGGTAATGATTCAGGGGGCTACACACGGGTTCACTGAAGACACTCAGTAATGTTTCAGGTGGTTGCACACGGGTTCACTGAATACACTGACTAATGTTTCAGGTGTCAATACACTCGGTAATGTTTCAGATGGTTGCACACGGGTTCACTGGATACGCTTGAAAATGTTTCATTTGGTTACACACGTGTTCACTGAATACACTTTGTAATGTTTCAGGTGGTTGCACACGGGTTCACTGAATACACTTGGTAATGTTTCAGATGGCTGCATACAGGTTCACTGAATACACTCGGTAATGTTTCAGATGGTTGCACACGGGTTCACTGAATACACTCGGTAATGTTTCAGATGGTTGCACACGGGTTCACTGAAAACACTCGGTTATGTTTCTTGTGACTGCACACGGATTCACTGAATACACTCGGTTATGTTTTAAATGGTCGCACACGGGTTCAATGAATACACTCGATAATGTTTCTGGTGGTAGCTTATGGGTTCACTGAATTCACTCGATAATTTTTCAAGTGACTGTACACGGGTTCTCTGCATAAATTCGATAATGTTTCAGGTAGTAGCACACACGTTCACTGAAATATGCTTGGTAGTGTCCCATATGGTTGCACATGGGTTCACTGACTACACACGGTAATGTTTTTAGTGACCGCCCACGTGTTCACTGAATACACTCGATAATGATTCATTTGGCTGCACACAAATTAACTGAAAACACTCAGTAATGTTTTAAGTGACTGCACACGGGTTCACTGAAGACACTCGATACACTCAGTAATGTTTCGTTTTGATGCACACAGGTTCAGTCAATACACTCCGTAAAGTCTCAGGTTGTAGCACACGGGTTCACTGAAAACAGTCGGTAATGTTTCAGGTCATTACACACCGGTTCACTGATTACACTCGCCAATAATTCTGGTGGCTGCACACGTGTTCACTGAATACACTCGGTAATGTTTCAAGTAGCTGCACATGGGATCACTGAATACACTCGATAATGTTTCAGATGGTTGCACACGGGTTCACTGATAACACTCGTTAAAGTTTCAGGTGTTTGCACACGGGTTCACTGAATACACTCGGTAATGTTTCAGATGTTTGCACACTAGTGCTTTACTGAAAACACTCCGTAATGTTTCAGATAGTTGCACATAGGTTCACTGAATACACTCGGTAATGTTTCAAATGGTTGCACACGGGTTCACTGAAAACACTCGGTAATGTTTTAGATAGTTGCACATAGGTTCACTGAATAGACTAGGTAATGTTTCAGATGGTTGCACACGGGTTCACTGAAACACTCGGTAATGTGTCAGGTCATTACACACGGGTTCACTGAAAACACTCGGTAATGTGTCAGGTCATTACACACGGGTTCACTGAAAACACTCGGTAATGTTTCAGGTGTTTGCACACGGGTTCTCTGAATACACTCGGTAATGTTTCTAGTGGCTCAACACGGGTTCACTGAAGACGCTCGATAATTTTTCAGATAGTTGCACACGGGTTCATTGAATACACTCGGTAATATTTCAGGTGGTTGCACACGGATTCACTCAATACACGGTAGTGTGTCAAGTGACTGCTCACGGGTTCACTGAAAACACTCGATAATGTTTCAGATAGTTGCACACGGGTTCATTGAATACACTCGTTAAAGTTTATAATGGTTGCACACGGGTTCACGGAAAACACTCGGTAATGTTTCTAGTGGCTCCACACAGGTTCACTGAAAACACTCGTTAATGTTTCAGGTGTTTGCACACGGGTTCACTAAAATACTCGGTAATTTTTCAGGTGATTGGTTAAGGTTTCTCTGAATACACTCGGTAATGTTTCCAGTGACTGCACACGGGTTCACTGAATACACTCGGTAATGTTTCTGGTGGCTGCACACGGGTTCACTGAATACACTCGGTAATGTTTTAGATGGTCGCACACGGGTTCACTGAAAACACTCGGTAATGTTTCAGATAGTTGCACATAGGTTCACTGAATACACTAGGTAAGGTTAAAAATGGTTGCACACGGGTTCACTGAATACACTAGGTAATGTTTCACATGGTTGCACACTGGTTCACTGACATCACTCGGTAAAGATTCAGGTGATTGCACACGGGTTCACTGAATACAATCCGGAAGGTTTCATTTGTCTACACACGGGTTCACTGGACACAATTAATAATGTTTCATTTGGCTACACATGGGTTCACTCGAAAAATGTTTCATTTGGTTGCATACTGGTTGACTGATTACGCTAGATACTCTTTCAGTTTGTTGCACACGTATTCACTGAATATACTCGGTTATGTTTCAGGTGTTCTCACACGGGTTCGCTAAATACAATCGGTAATGTTTGTAGTGGCTCCACACGGATTCCCTGAAAACACTCGGTAATGTTTCAGATGGTTGCACATAGGTTCACTGAATACACTCGGTAATGTTTCAGGTGTTTGCACAAAGGTTCACTGAATACAATCGGTAATGATTCAGGTGATTGCACACGGGTTCACTGAATACAATCGGCAAGGTTTCATTTGTCGTCACATGGGTTCACTGGACACACTCAATAATGTTTCATTTTGCTAAACATGGGTTCACCCGATAATGTTTCATTTGGTTGCACACTGCGTGACTGATTACGCTAGATATTTTTCAGTTTGTTGCACAAGGGTTCACTGAATACACTCGGTTATTTTTCAGATAGTTGCACATGGGTTCACTGAATACACTCGGTTATAATTCAGATAGTTGCACATGGGTTCACTGAATACACTTGATAATGTTTTATTTGGCTGCGCACGTGTTCACTGAATACAATCGGTAATGTTTCAGTTGGTTGCACACTGGTTCACTGAATACACTTGGTAATATTTCACGTGGTTGCACACTGGTTCACTGAATACATTCGGTAATGTTTCAGGTGGTTGCACACGGGTTCACTGAATACAATCGGTAATGTTCCAGGTCATCTCACACGGGTTCACTGAATACAATCGACAAGCTTTCATTTGTCTACACACGGGTTCACTAGACACACTCAATAATCTTTCATTTGGCTACACATGGGTTCACTCGATAATTTTTAATTTGGCCACAAATGGGTTCACTCGATAATGTTTCATTTGGTTGCACACGGGTTCACTGATTACACTAGATACTGTTTCAGTTTGTTGCACACGGGTTCACTGAATACACTCGGTAATGTTAAATGTGGGTGCACACGGGCTCACTAAATACACGCAGTAATGTTTCAGGTGGTTGCACGCGGGTTCTCTGAATACACTCAGTAATGTTTCAGGTGGACGCACACGGGTTCTCTGAATACGCTCAGTAATGTTTCAGGTGTTTGCACACGGGTTCACTGAATACACTCGGTAATGTTTCAGGTGGTTGCACACGTGTTCACTGAATACAGTCAGTAATGTTTCAGGTAGTCGCACACGGGTTGGGTGTATACACTCAGTAATGTTTCAGGTGGTCGCAGACGGGTTCACTGAATACACTTGGTAATGTTTAAGGGGGTTGCACATTGCTTCACTGAATACACTCAGTAATGTTTCAGGTGCCTGCACACATTGTTTACTGAATACACTCGGTAATATTTCAGTTTGTTGGATACGGCTTCACCAGTTCCGCTCGGTAATGATACAGATGATCGCAAACGGGTTCACTGAATACACTGGGTATTATTTCATTTAGTTGCACTGGGGTTCACGGAATACACTCTGTAATGTGTCAGGTGTTTGTACACGGGTTCACTGAATACACTGGGTAATGTGTCAGGCGTTTGTACACGGGTTCACTGAATACACTTGGTAATGTTACATTTGGTTCCACTTGGGTTCCCTGAATACACTTGGCATTGGTTCAGGTGCTTGCACACGGGTTCACTGGATACACTCGGCAATGTTTCAGTTTGTTGGACATGGGTTCACTAAGTCCACTCGGTAATGATACAGATAGTCACAAACAGGTTCACTGAATACACTTGGTAATGTTTCATTTGGTTGCACTGGGGTTCACTGAATACGCTCCGTAATGTTTCAATTATTGCAGATGCGTGCACTGCATACAGTGTTTCAGGTTGTTGCACATGGGTTCATTGCACACTAGGTGCCGTTTCACTTACACATTGGTTTACTGAATACACTGGGCAATGTTTCACATTGTTGCGCGCTGGTTAACTGCATATACTCGGTAACTTTATGTAATATTGTACGTGGTTGCACGTTGGTTCCCTCTCCCTCTCTCATAAAATAACACAGGCGGACTAACACGAGCACCTCTGTTTTGCAAATGTGAATAACGTCACACTTCCGGGTTAGTGAATACAAACGGAGTGAAAATATTTGCCCGAGGTACGATACGGGGAAAGCTTTGATCAGCTGGTTTTATCAGACAGTGGAATCTAGTGACCGTTGTATATGTTCCAGTATGGTTACAACAATTCCCCTTGACATCTCCGTGTATTCATAATCTCAAATCACATCGATAGACATTCATCAGCTAATCAAAGGAGGCAGTGATATCATGAAACATGTGGGCGCACTTCCTCATTTATTGCAGAGCCAGCTAACGACTGCGATTGCACTATGCGGATATTGATTCAAAAATGAAACTATAAGTAGAGAACTAAAGTGCCGTCATGATAAAACTTATTTGTGGTACAAAATGACAGCTGTGCGAGACGTTGGCTGTTATAAACCTTGAGTCTTTATTTCTTGTTCATCACAAGGTCAGTGACAATCATTGGCATTTAGTTTATGTTATATTTTCATGAAAACACTGCTTTCATTGTCTCGTACAAAGGAAACTTGATTATGCATTTATATGTATATTTAGTGACAAAAGGTCAGAATTGAACATACTTTGCAAAGGATTTAGATCTATTATGACTATATTTACGTTTTATTAGAATTGATTAGTACACGTAATCATATACGAAATGCCATTTGCGCGTAATCCGAACTCTTAGATGAAATCTACGTTACATCTAATTTTCTTGAATCGTTCATTACACCTCATCTGGTTTTACAACACATCAATTAACTATACTATGATCAGGAACACATTAAAAGTATATTAAACTATATATAAAAGCGACGCTAGATCCATTTTCATATAGTTTAGTGTCGGAATTAAGAGTTAAAGTTCTCGGCTCATGTATGCGTGTTTATGTCATGATCCCAGGCAATATGAGTTATTATCAAATAAGAGGATCGGGTAGCCTAGTGGTTAAAGCGTTAGCTTGTCACGCCGAAGACCCAGGTTCAATTCCCAACATAGGTGCAATATGTGAAGCCCATTTCTGGTGTACCCCGCCGTGATATTGCCGGAATAGTGCTAAAGGCGGCGTAAAACCATACTCACTCACTCACTCACCCACTATTATAAAAAAATGTGTAGATAGTTACAAAAGCAAAATATTATTCTACCATGACCTCATCCTCGACCATCCAGTGTATTATATCATCATTCAATTACGATAAATACATTGAAACCATTAGCTGCCAAAGTTCCGTTATCTGTGTTATCATAACTCTTCTTCTCGCTCGAATGTAATTTGATTGCACGTCGTCAGTCTTGAAGTAGCGTATTTCAATTCGGCCTCTGTAAGAAGCTATGTTGACGTATGAGTCCAGGGTATTTGTGATATAAGTATGTAGACATAATACACTGCATAATCGTCTGTGATTTGTCTTTATTCAACATAATTTGAAAACAATGAGTTACATCATAACTAGATTTAATAAATTACATCAGTATATGCTAATCACTAACGAAGTGCTATTTGTGCGTAATCTGAACTTTAAGTTTCTTGAATCCTGAATAACACAAAAATAGATCTCTCACCTGCTTTTTAATTGCATGTATAGCAAACTATATGTCTGCGTTGATGCAGCAGTAATGAACTACACTATGATTGAGAAGGTAATAAAAGTATTGTATGGAAATAAATGTTATTAATAACACACCATATACAACTTTCATATTATTATTGTTATGTCCCTAAGTCAGTAAAAGTATGTGAAAAGGTGAAGCACATCAAAAGAGAGTGATAAAACATTACATCGGTGATGGTACGAATGAGTTGGATGCTGTGCAATGCTCCCACAGACGCTACTTTACTTAAAAATACATGATTACAAACAGCACGATTGAAGAGGATTTTGAATGAAATATCAACTCAGAGATAGGTTAAGTGAGGCAATATGAATATGATGTATTACTTTACTATTGAACTGTGTCGGTGAAAGTTTTCTCACACATCAGTGTAGATATACAAAACAATGTTGATATCAAATGTAATAAATATATTATTTTGGTGTTATTCATTTATCAATCATTGTAATTATGTGTAATAAACATTTAGAATTCCCACACGTATAGTTATAACATACACCCCGCCATTCCCCGCCAGTAGACAAGACAGCCTCTCCGCCCAGCGAGTGTGATGGTGTGACTGTGAAAGTGACTGAAGCGGACATAGAAGTTACCTGTTCATGTGATGTCTGTTGTCTGTACAAATGTCAAAATGTCTCAACTTGATGTAGTTTTCTGTTTCATTGTATTCTCTATTGTACAAGAGAAGTTTAGAATTCACACAGTGGTATTTAAACATGAAGTTATGTAAATATTACTGCTTATTTTGACAAAGAGCCTCGATGTCTGACTTCTATATCACAGCAACAGAGCGGAACTAATGTTTGTCAAAAATTGTTTTATATGGTGTTGATTTGATCATTAAACCATGTAACCTTGTATAAAATACATTTAGAATTCACATACAAATAGTTTTGCAGTATATTTATTTCGCTATCATTCACAATAGTGACCTAATTGACAAACTTGGTGAAACTCACAGTCGAACATTTAGGACGCTGTTCACAGATAACATCATGAGATTCACAATAAATGTCCGACTTTGTCTCTACAGTAAATAAACTTATCACACAACAAACACCATCTATATTTCCAGGTCCTAAACTACATCTGGACGCCGCTCGAGCCAACACAGATTGGTGCCACGTTACTACAGACGGTGAGCTGGTCAACTCGCGGCCCGACACACGGCCTGATGATAACAGGCGCAGGCTACGGAAGTATAGGGGGACCTGTGCCTCCACCCCCATCCCCCTTCCTCCACCCCATCCCACTCTCATCCCGGTATACAGTACTCCCAGATACTGGGAGACACTAACCAGGGTGAGGGTGATGGATGGAGAGTTGTTGACGTGGTGGCCTGTCCTGGAGATGGGGCTGAGGGAGGCAGGACAGGTGGACAGTAACTGGTGGACTTCTCTACAGCCTCGCTCCTGGGATGTCCGTGTAGGGAGATGTGGCAGACACGGGATGAGTCTCTGCACCACGGTGTGGCGGGACAGGGAGCCGGGCGAGTGTCAGCAGAACACCATATCCCGCACTCCCGGCACACAGGCCACCCTCCACTATGGTGTTGTGCTGGATGTGGGGAGGGGCAAACTTGCCTTCATTGATCTGAACAGGGGCGTTGTTTTAGCCAAGTATAATGAGACGTTTAGGGAAGACATGTACCCCATGTTTAGTGTGGGGTGGTGGCCAGAGTACTACACTATCAACATGAAACTGATCAGCGGGGAAGACATCGTCATCACCGACACCAAGAAGTCACTGATTCACGATGCGCTGACTTAGGACATGACGCTGTGTGAAGTTAGCAGTGTAATTCAAGGTTGTAGAATCTGCTGTGTCAATGACGAGAACTGAACTGAGTGAAGCGGACATATACGAGTCCGGTTTGTTTCCTATTTCATGTTACAAAAACTAACAAAGTTAGCTAAACGTGATGGTTTGCGACACGAGAGACTGTGTATAAAAAGTATTTAGAATTATCACATGAGTATCTGTATGTTGACAGTATTGCTGTAGTGACTTCCAATATGAGACACTGTGTGATGTTTTGAGATTTGATGTGATGTGAAAATGAGTGAAGCGCAGTTTTACAAAAATTGTTTCAATTAGCAATTTTCTTTATCTCACTTCACTTGTCTGTGTATTACAGCTGTATTGAATCCACCTGGTCATTTATAGCAACATCAAGGGATTGTGGGACCTACATCTATCCGACGCCCCCAAGAGATTGAAACATGCTGTGCTGTGGTGGAGTGCACAAACAATATTTGATAAACAAACAAACCAACACACACACACACACACACACACACACACACACACACACACACACACACACACACACACACACACACACACACACACACACACACACACACACAAACACACACACAAACAAACAAACAAACAAACAAACAAAAACACACAAAAAACAAATTAACGTCACAGGCCGGTCATTTAGTAATTTACAAAAGAAACTGTGGTCAACGAAGCGAAAAAAGTGACATTGTTAAGGACAATAATGCAGCACAAGCCCCGCACATTTTTTTATCAGCCAATCAGGAAACAGTTGTCCGTCAGGTTTAAGGCAACATGAAAACGCAAAAATAATTCCATGGAATCTCTTACGATTAACCTATAAGGCTTTAATTTGTGTTTTTGTTGTTTAGTTTGTTTGTTTGCCACACTCAGCAATTTGCAGATGTATGACAGCGGTCTGTAAATAATCGAATCTGGACCAGACAATACAGTGACTGACGTCATGAGCATCGACCCACGCAATTCGGATACGATGACATGTATCAACTAAGTCAGTGAGCCTGACAACCCGATCCCGTTAGTCGCCTCTTGCGGCCAGCGTGGGTTGTTGAAGACCTATTCTACCCCGGATCTTCAGGGGTCTATAATGCTTCAAACAATCATGCATCATGTATAGACCACTGAAGGCATGACACATGCAGTGAAGTCTCAACCATTACAAAAAGGGGTGACAAATCACGTTTCCTACTCTTACAAAACTTATGCGTGTAATAAATGTATGTTTATGTATTTTTTAATATTCTTATATGCAATGTGTTATGGCATATTAGTCCAAATTGTGGCCTCTATTTGTTTGCCTTTCTCTATAGAGTATATACAATATGTTATTGTATCTGGTTTATATGGTTATCTATGTAGATTTACCATAAATATGTATTTGACCATAACAAATATCAGCTTTAACATTCATGTTCCTATTATAGTAATCATTTATGAACTTTTATTTCACTTTGTTACAATTAAAGGCAGTCCACATGTGCAATTCCTGTAATGGCCATATGCTATCGATATTGACGAACAGTTGTTATGGTTTACATTGCGATGATATACATGCATTTGTTCGTTTATCAAAATAACCAATTTCTCTGGAGCAGACACTGTCAATAATGTGACCATATATGTTTACAATATCATTTTTTTTATTAAGTCCCACAATGCATTTATGGAAATTTAAAGTAGAGAACTACACTTACGTGAGATTGCGATCCAGATGAAGTCATCACGGTCGCTCCAATCAACATGCCCCTACTGTTGATTGTATTCTATATTTAGACACATGAATATGTAAAAACTGCGTTTGTTTTCACCTGTGATTATGACTTGATATTTACGTTGTTAATTGTGAATGAGTATCATTATTCCGTTGTGGTTTCTTCATTTTTTTACAAGAAATCATTGTTTTATAGATAAAGGGTCTATGAATTGAAATAAATCTTAAATGTTATAACTGTATCTCTTACTAATACGGATATTTAATCTTGTGTGTTGGTAGATTGCTTTACAATATCAGATTACTTCGAATGTACAGTGGTCGCAAGGCAAGGGTGCAGGATCAGTCCTCTACTGCTTACTTTGTTACTTAATGAAAACGGTAATCCATATTTGTGAATGAATTTGCTGAAACCATTACCTCATTGCTGATGTCATTGCCAATGTAGGTGATAAAGTTAGAAAAAATTTTTTGTATGGTTTAAGAATTAATTTAGACATGACCAAAGTAATGTTTTTTTTAAAAGGTGGTGTAATCAGACAAAAATATAATGAGATATGATGGTTTAAATTGTTTCGCAAGTATTTGGGTGTAATTTTTGCACGAAACTTTTTATGGTATAAGGCCAGAAATACACTCAGCACAACAAGCAGAAAAGCCAAAGTACATGTCGTGTCATTTTATCAAAAGTACCAAAACTTAAAAAATATGCTCTAATTCTTGTTTCTCTTAAAGAATGATTGCAGGTGACAAACCTGACTGGTGATGTACAACCTGCCTTATGTTTGATAAAGAAATTATGGTGGTTAAATCCTTTATAGTACCAGAGAAAAGGAAATCTACTCATCTTTGCAAGTAAAAGATTAAGAGTTGAGCTGTGTAGATACAGATGCAGAAATCGTGGAGTGGAATAGACCCAAAAGCCTGGATTTTTAAATTTTGTAATAAAAATCTACATTTGTTACAGAAGATGAAGTGCATGTTATTACTACACGTTCATTGTAACAGCGATACAAGCTTTGGCCATCTTAAGCATCCAGACATGTGGACATATGTGTTGAAATATTGACTGAAAATAGTTTGTTTGAAACTGTGGCTTTCTCTATGTATGTAGAACACCAGTTAAGAAAGCTTTTCTGAAAGTTACTTGAACTTGATACTTGAACAACTTTGTAGTGCCCTATAGATGTACTGAATGATGCTCGTCACGATATGGCTGAAATACTGCCGGTGTGACGTTAAATCTTAACTCACTCACTCACTGAATGATGCTTTATGTATCCACAAGTAAAGAGTGATGTGTCATATAATTGATATTCATGCCTTCTATGCTTGTAATACGTTCCCTGGGCCGGAGGCCTAAAATACTGAAATAAAGACTTGAGACTTGAGGTTCTCGAATTCGTTCATTCCCGCAGCAGCCATATTATGGCAATTACTCATCAACTAAACCAAAACTGTAATGACATTTGCTGTAGTTTGTTGAGCGGTTCAACATATATAACACATGACAATTCATTTTTCAAACGTTTTGGGGAAAGATAGAAACCTTGAAAGCTCTACACCGCTCCCTACTTCTCACGTGCGAAATCTGTTTCGAAATATGGAAGCTTGAAAGCTCAACACCGCATCCAACCTCTTACTTCCGTACATCGTTTTTAGAATGACACAATCCTCTATCTTGAAACTGCCGCTATCATAAATATCCCTGCAAACAATTTTCAACAATATTGTAAAAACTCATTACTCTTTTAAAAAAAGAATTGTGAAAGCTTGGATGACGTGCCGAAGATACAGTTTATTTCTGAGCAACGATATACAGTGTGTACATCTAATGACATATGATCGCTGTCTTTGATGACAGCGCAATTTATACTATACTATGCATTAAACTAATATTTCATTCAGTTTGTTGTTTTGTTAATGAAGGATAATTCAAAATTTCCCTGAAGGTTTTATTTTCTGTATATTAGGAGTCTGAGTTTTATATACGTGAAATGCCGGTATCATTGACGGTGAGGTCCATTGATATTCTGTGCCGATTTTAGTTTGGAACTTATTCATGTACAACACAGATCAAGCGGTTGTTGTCGCAAGTGTATACAGTACTTTAGAAAATGAAGATATTATGAGCAAATGCATTAAACATAATCAAGATAGGTCCCATCAACAAGTTAGCAAGTAAAATTGTCGCTAATGTAATTAAGCAAAGTGTTATTGGCCCATTTGGGCACAGTCCATGACCAGTAGGCTATACATGTGAACGGATACTGTTGAATAAATTTAAAAGATACATATTTTGTACGTTATGATAGTGACAAGATAAGCAGTTGCAGATTGCACATTATGATCACCTTTTGATAATTATATTAATATTTGAAGCTTGTAACTATTTCCCAATCACTGCATCGGCGAGGACTTGGCCTCCACGTGTCTACTCGTTCATATCAGACAGGAATCCAGTAAATTATTGCATGTCGTGTATGAACTTTAAAACAATAGTGGCGCACGCGGCGGGATAGCTCAATGGAAAAGGTGTCGGCCATGTACACGAGAGATCCCTGGTTCGATTCCTGCGGTCGGCACATGTTGTATGAAGCCGATTTAAGTGGCCAGTCTGCGTGTCTCCGCAAAGTTGGAGTGGACGTAAAAACTAGTACTCACTCACTCAATACGACAACAATATACCCGTATTAATTAATGGTGTGAATTTATGTGGTTACTCTCGTTTCGGAAGTGTTCATCTATCGTCATATATAAAACAGTTATTACAGAACTGCATGGGAAGAAACACATTTATATTTATATAGTGTTGTGACTGATCACAACTACAGACATTATAGACCAGGACATATAAAGTCACCAGCCCCAAATACACACGGAAAAAACATTGTACGGACATTCTCATTTCTGTTATATGCATAAGGGGTAATACATTTATTACCAATACTGAAAGTGCATTCACATAAAAACATATGCAGAACTGAAGAGGTTTCTTGAAGAGGTATCTTGATGATCATATGAAGCATACTGAAGAGGTTTCTTGATCATATGCAGCACACTGGAGAGGTTTCTTGATGATCATATGCAGCACACTGGAGAGGTTTCTTGATGATCATATGTAGCACACTGAAGAGGAAGATATACCTCCACCATCAGGCATTTAGAAAGCTGCAAAAAGTTTGTGATGATATTAAATCTCAGAACACAAATGACGTGAGATATGGGAAATAATTACAGGGGAGCAAATTTAATTAACGCAATCTTATCACCTGATGCAATGTACAACAATCCACTGTGTTCAGGTTTTGGGAAAACTCCTTTTCAGCCAGCCACTCAAGTCACCTATGTAACCATAGAGAACCAGACTAGTGACCACCACATTTTGGCTTAAAACAGAAAATCAAAACTCTGTTTAAATTAAAGCACAGCTTTGTTGACAATATTTCTTATGTAAACAATTCAGACTGCACATCTGATTTGCACATGTCAGAATCAACTGGAAATGAAAAACAGTTAT